GGTGGGTAGAGACTCTGGTCCTGGGCGGTCCATAAATTTTTATACGTGTGTAAATTTCTTATTAAAGCAAGCTTCATAAGTGTGTTTGTGTGATATCATATTAATTAAAATGGTCCCAAAACAATATTATAATTTATCTCAATAATTTCCGAGACAATTCAGCAAAATTTGTTATCGTGACAGGCCTAACTGTAAACAAATTCCTTGAACAGTGGATTTTGTTTATGAGAACAAACAATAAAGTCCATATATACAATGTATTTTAACAAATCATTTAAACACTAAATTTAGGTGAAAGAAGTACAGAAGAGGTGGAGAACTTATTTCTAGCAGCAGAGCAGGCTGGAAGACAGTTATTTGAAGTTATTTATTTTTTTATCATCCTACAGGCCCTGGCGTGCTAAATTTGAAACAGGTTTTGAAAAAAATCCATAAAACTTGAAAAAATCCGTGAGATCGCTCTATACATCCTCATACCTGCAAAATGATGGAAAATCCATGTAAATTACGGTACAGTACAACTTGACATGTATGCTGAGGTAAAACAGCAGCATGGCAAGGAATAAAAAYACAAAAGAAGCAAAAACGAAATCCAATAAAGTCAAACAGAAATGCATAAAGGAACAGGGAGTGAACTAAATTCAATAAAATAAAATGTGGTAAAAATGAATAAAAGAATGGTCATTTGTAAGGCAAGAAGCAGCATTGGGGCAAACAAAAACAAATAGGTACGCACTGATTCATCTCTAGATATACACGTACAAAATATTTTAAAAACATACAAAATTTTAATAAAATAAGCTGGGAAGAATATCTGAGGAGGGGCTTTGACAGTCCTAGCAGAACGTTCACCATCTTGAAAACCAAGGACTGACAGAAGTGGAGCAGAAAAGTGTCAGAAGCGCTTTAGAATAAAATAAACAAATRTGATTCCTTTTTGCACATCTCTCACATTCAGTCATGCAGGTTAAACAGAAGAACCACACACTCGTTAATAATGAGCAACATAAACAGTCTTGAAGCAACACGCATTCTCATCTGCACATGTTTTATAGGAAAGGCCTACACTGCAGCTCTAAAACATATCCCAACACGTTGTGTTTATTTTACCAACGTTGTGTTTTGTTGTAAAGTACATGTCATTTATTTAAATAGAAGAAGTTGCAGCGCTTTTTGCAGTTTACATGCTTCTTAAAACTAAAGTAGGGGCTCAAAATTGTTCGTAAATCATTAGAAACAGGCTTAAATTGCTGCTCTTACACACAGTTTGATTGTTAACTTAGGGATATTTAAGGATTTTAGAAACATACTTTTAAAYACACTGTAATTCAAGCACAAATGATTCTGTCAGACTTCCAAAGAACCTGCTCAATATTAGATCTGATCCATGAATCTGTGGAGCTGTGTTATYGTCAGCCCAGTTCTGAGTCCTGCTGCCTTCTTTAAATGTCATCCTAGTGTTTTAATTTACAAAAAAAGACAAACATGAATCACTTCATATCAGGGATATTATCTTTCCTATAAACATTAATTAGTCATGTTTATTTTGGCTGTTGCGTAATCATCTGATGAGAGATCAGACTTATCCAAACTTTCAATCCCACACCATCTCCCTACATGTGATCAGATCAAAGCGAAGACAAAACTGGCAGCAAATAAGGACGTAGGTGGATGAAAAGATTAAAGCTGAATCAAACATAAGCGCCTTACATCCTTGGCGTGCGTGAGCCCTTGTGTGTGAGTGTGTGTGCGCGCGAGTACATCTTTGATGTGCTTCCTCCTGACAGCAGGAGCGAGCTCCCGTCGAAGCTACAGTGGGAGCGCGGTGGAGGATGGATGAAATGACAAGCAAAGAAAACGCAAAGGAAGATGGTGTGTGTGTGTGTGTGTGTGTGTGTGTGTGTGTGTGTGTGTGTGTG